TCCAGTGGTATGATAACTACTGTTAAACTGGATGGAACTAATTTTTTAGAGTGGTCTCAGTCTGCTAAACTTACCATTATTGGGCGGGGTAAACTGGGATTCATCATAGGAAGGGAGGTGAAGCCAAGTCCTAAAGACCCGAAATTTGCAAGGTGGAAACATGACAACTCTCCCTTGTTATATCATGGCTGATTTGCTCAATGCAACCTCATATTGCCCGAAATTACATGTTTCTTCCATCTACCAAGGATATCTGGGATAGGGTGGTTGCTACTTATTCCCAAGTTAACAATACTACTAGAGTGTACCAGCTTCGGAGGGAAGCTTGCAGTATGCGTTAAGGGGAGAAATTTGTTGCTATGTTTTTCTCTTCTCTACAGTCTATCTGAGAAGAAATGGATCACTTGAAACCTCTAGTTTGGAAGGACCCTAAAGATGGTGAGTGGTATTGGAAGTACATAGTGGAGAATAGAGTCTTTGATTTTTTTGGCAGGCTTAAACCCCAGAGTTTGATTTCACCAGGCAACACATTCTTAGTGCAGGCGTTGTCTCTCTTGCTACTACTTACTCTCTTGTACAAGGGGAAGAAAGTCAAAGAACCGCCATGATGCAATCCTCTGTGAGTGATCATTTTGCCTTTATGTCATCACGACTCAAGCAAAATACTAGCAAACATCCCATTGTAGAGAAGGTCGAGGATGTTATTTGTGAGTACTACAAGAAGCCAAGGCCAAGGTTTAAAAAATCGATATGATATGCCCTGTATCAAGCGTATCGTATCGTATCTTTTGGGTCTTGAAACAACTGTTTATAGGTGTTTCGGGACCCCACCCTTTATTAATAAAAAGGCCCTTTTAACTCCCCAAAAACCAAAATTTGAAAAAAAAAGGCCTTTTTCCGTGTGTATCTAAGTACCGATACACCTCTGTCTATACGCAGAGGCATATCGATACTTTGAACCATGGCCAAGACACTAAAGAAAGGTGTTGGAAGCTCAACCCTCATCTAAAGCCAGAGAAGTACAAAACCGGGAAGAAGGGCAATGCTCACTTGGCTACAGTTGGTAATGATGCTCAGCCCTCGGATGTGCTTGACTCTCTGATGTGATGGACAAACTCAGGAATATATTGTTGCAGCTAGAGAAGGGTGGTACATCCTCATCTAGTTTTGGATTTTGTAATCTATCTAGTTCATATGCCAAGACAGGTACTGCACTTGCTTGTTCCACCTTTAGCCCATGGATTGTAGACTCTGGGGCCAGTGCCCATATGACTGGTATGCCTTCACATTTTACCTTATATAAGTTAACCTCGAGGAAGGGTAAGATTACTGTTGCTGATGGATCTCATACCCCAATCTCGGGTCAGGGTGATGTCAGAATCACTAATAACCTTTTTCTTGACTTTGTTCTACATGTGCTCCAGCTACAAAAGAATTTATTGTCTGTTAGTTCTCTAACTAAATCCCACAATTGCTCAGTGACATTTTTTTCCAACCATTGTGCTTTTCAGGACCTGAGCACGGGGAAGACGATTGGAAGTGGGCATGAAGTGGATGGAGTCTGTCTCCTGGATGGACCTTCAGAGCATGGATTGTCAAGCCAGACTAAGTCTTGTTCCAATGAGAAAATGAGTCTTTTGAAATTATGGCATTGTCGCCTTGATCATTTGTCTGTCAATTTTGTCAAGTTTTTGTTTCCAAACTTGTTTGATTCTATGTCCAAATTGAATTTTGAATGTAAAGTTTGTCATTTATCTAAACAATGTAGAAACACATATTTTGCAAGCAGTAAAAGAAGTATATGTTGCTTTCTACTTGATCCATACGGATGTTTGGGACCCATATGTTGTCCCTTGTATGGGGGCTACAGATATTTCATTCTCTTCATTGATGACTACAGTCGGTATACATGACTTTTTTTGATGAAAAGTAGAGATGAAGTTCCTATGATTGTTCAAAACTTCATGAATATGGTCGAAACACAATTTGAGAAATAAGATATAAGATCTGACAATGCCAAGGAATACTTTGAACATCACTTGCATAGATTTCTTGAAGATAGTGGCACTATTCACCAAAGTTCATGTAATTATACTCCACAACAAAATGGGGTGGCTGAAAGAAAAAATAGGCATGTGGTTGAAGTTGCTCGAGGCTTATTATTCCAAACTCGTGTTCCAACTCGTTTCTAGGGTGATGCTGTTGAGACAACTGTATATCTCATTAATAGACTCCCATCAAGGGTCCTTAACCTTCATTCTCCTCATCAACTATTCTTCCCTGATGAACCTCCTTTTAATCTATCCCTTAAGGTCTTTGGTTGTGTTTGTTTTGTTCATGATATGAGTCCTTCTCGGCGCAAGTTTGATCCTAAATCAGTCTAGAAAGGCTATAGATGCTTTGATGCTCTCTCTAGCAAGAGATATGTCTCTAAGGATGTTACCTTTTCGGAATCCTCTTCCTTTTTCCAATCACCTCGTCATTCTCTTCAGGGGGAGAATGCAAGTGAAGATTGGACTCCCTTCGCCTTCCTATTCCTACCTCTATTCCTCCCTCTCTTTCTACCTCTATTCCTTCTCCTCCTCCTCCTCCTCCTCCTCCTCCTACGTATTGACCTCGGTCCTGGCAGTAGTTTTTCATTAGGCGTAGTAAGAGGGTGGCTCCTGAAGCAGAATGCCCATTACAATCTGATTCCCCGGTCTCAGGTAATCTTGAACCTCTTAACAATCCTATTATTGATTCTAACCTTAATCTTCCTATTGCCATTCGAAAAGGGAAGAGGACATGTAGCAAGTATCCTATCACTAACTATGTGTTTTATGATGCTCTTTCACCTTTCTATTGTGCCTATATTTCTGCTATCTCTTTTGTTTCCATCCCTTGCAGTGTTATAGAGGCAATGTAGTGCCCCCAGTGGAAGGAATCTATGAACCAAGAAATGAAGGCCCTAATAAAGAACTAGATTTGGGAGGTTGTTCTTTGCCCCAAAGATAAGATTGTTGTTGGGTGTAAGTGGGTTTATACTGTTAAGTACAGGGTAGATGGCTCAATTGAAAAATACAAAGCTCCGCTTGTAGCCAAAGGATACACTCAGACTTATGGCATTGATTATCTGGAAACCTTTGCTCCAGTTGCTAAAATGAACTCTATTCGTGTGATCATGTCTCTTGCCGCCCATTACTTGTGGCCTTTATATCAAATGGATATAAAGAATGCCTTCCTTAATGGGGATTTACAAGAGGAAGTGTATATGGACTTACCACCTGGGATAAGTTTTCCTAACTGTGATGGAAAAGTGTGCCGCTTGAAGAAGTCTTTGTATGGGCTAAAACAATCTCCAAGAGCTTGGTTTGGCAGGTTCAAGAATGCCACCTTAAAGATTGATTTTTCTCAATCTCAGTCTAACCGCACCTTATTTATTTGAAGAGTTGATGGTAGAGTAACAATGTTGATAGTATATGTTGATGACATTGTTGTGACAGGTGATGATATCATAGGTATCTCTCAATTAAAGTCATTCCTTGCTTCTAAATTTGAGATTAAGGACCTTGGTGATCTTCGATATTTTCTTGGCATTGAAGTTGCAATATCCAAGAAGGGGATTTTTCTATCACAAAGGAAATATGTACTTGATTTTGCATGAACCCAGGACATCTCATATGTAGGCAGTTAACAGAATTTTAGCCTACCTGAGGGATGTTGTATTCCAACCACGGCCATCTAAAGATTGAGGCTTACATAGATGCTGATTGGGTAGGGTCCATCGATGATAGAAGATCTACATCCGGTTATTGTGCCTCAGTTGGAGGCAATGTGGTTTCCTAGAGAAGTAAGAAACAATCTGTGGTTGTTCGTTCTAGTGCTGAGGCAGAGTACAGGGCAATGGCTCATGGAGTGTCTGAACCACTCTGGTTGAAGACCTTATTGACTGAGATGGGCATCCAAGTAGATGTTCCAATGAGACTATATTTTGACAATCAAGCAGCCATAAATATTGCTCACAATCCTGTCCAACATGATTGTACAAAGCATATTGAGGTGGATAGACACTTTATTAGAAAAAGAATTGCTAGTGGAGAGATTTGCCTTCATTTTGTAAGATCAGAAGACCAACTAGCTGATTGCCTCACTAAAGGTGTTCACCATCCAAAGCTTGCTAAGAACCTTGCCAAGCTGGGCATGATTGACATATATGTTCAGCTTGAGGGGGAATGTTGAAAATGGCTAGATGGGTGTTTTTGGCTTTTTCTCCTTTCTTATACTCTCTCAATATTTGGGCACCCATATAGGGGCCTTCTTGTAATTATTATTTTCTCAAATTATAAATTAATCTTTTGAGGGTGTGAACAGTGAATAACACACCTCTCGACACTCTCTCTTCTTCCTCTTCTTCTCTTCTCTTCTCTTCTTCCTTTCTCTTGAAACCCTTGTTTCTGCAACTAATCTTCTTAAGAGTTCTATGATATTCTGGAACATCTGAATGAGGTGTTCATTCTAAAGGCCCTGGATCTATCTCCCTAATATATTGATAGAGCAACTTAGGGCCTATATCCTCCTGCATCCACCCAATCTCCACTTGAGGATCTTCCTGAAACTTCCACTGTGGAATGGCCTAGAGTCAAACTCAAGTACATCCTTTGGAGACTGAATAGAGTTGCCCTCTTTCTCAAATTGAAGGTGGGCATACCAGCAATACAATTCCTAAATGGTTCCCAAAGATTTGTCTTATCCATAAGCTCCTTGGATTCTTAACATATGCCTATCAAATGGAGTTTGATTACGTCTATGAAAGGATGATAGATGTTTTGAGATTTCTCCCTGGATTCTTACTGCTTTCTATGGGAGGACGAATCAAAATTTTTGAGGTGCTTATTTTCCTGAGTCCAATTGTTTTGACCTGTTTATTCATTTGGTGCTTTGACTGCATTTTTCTGCATCTATTATACATTTTTACCTGATTCTGGCTTTTTATTTCTCTGTGGATTGTTATTGAGGGCTAGATGGCTGGTGCAACATATGTTTGTGAGCTATGCCAGAAGAATGGTAAGGGAGGTTGCTCAAAAACAGAATCAATGTATGACAATGCTGACGCTGTTGAGCTTGAACTTTCCACCTCATCTCAACATACAACATCCTTTCCTGAACTCTCTAGCAGACATGGTAAGTTCTGTGTTATATTCAATGTGTTCTATTTTCTGGTGTATGAGCAATCAAATAATTACCCACTTCTATCCACAGTTCCTTCCCTTTGTTTATGGTTCTTTTAAGTTAAGAGATTTAAACAATTTGCAACTTAAGAATCTAAATATAATAAAGAAAAGTTAATAATGAAGCAAACAAAGATTAGGATTGAAGAAATAGAGAACAAGAATAAGAATCCATGCATCAGTCAACACAAAGTAAAGAGAAGGATCATTTGTTTTTTAAAAAGGGAACAATTGTTTGGTGTAATGGTAAAATCTTGGGCAGGCAAGCATGAGAATGTGGATTTGACTCCAAGAATGATCACTTTCTGAAAAACAAAAAAATCCAGAGGTTAGGTCTGTAGGTCTGTTCCAGTCTATCCTACACAAGACCCTGCATAGCCAGTACTGTCATTGGGGAATGGCCCTTTTACATAAAATAAAGAGAATTGAAGAAATCAATAACAAGAATATTAAGAATCAAGAGAAAACTGAAGGGAATAGCTTACAGGAAAGTACTTCAAAATCTTCATTGATGATTTTTTAAGAATGACATGGATTCAATTAATGAAAGAGCATTTGGTTGTTCTTTGTCTTTCTTTCCTTTTATGCTGAAATTTGAAATCAATTTGATGTCTTTATTAAAATATTTTGTTCTGATAATGCAAAAGGATACTTTCATTGCACCTTTCAATCTTATTTTGACTCATGGGATTTATTCATCAATCTTCTTGTTCATACACACCACATGTAGCTAAGCAAAAAAAAAAAATTGTCATTTGCATGATGCTGTCTGCACCTTGTTGATTCAGTAAAGGGTATATCTGGTCACAGTTATGAATAACAACAAACTCAAGCTTTATCCAATATACAGTATTTGATCTATCAACCTGATAATTTGCATCTATTTCAAGGTGTGCCCCCTTATATAGAGAATTCTCTTGTAGGGTTTGAATTGAAATTTGGGAAGCCTAATTGACCTTCTGTCTCCAAGCTTGCATGGCCCCGAAATCCTAAGGCTTCCATGGGTATTGGTTCATTCACTCTTCTTTTAGTTGCAGCTGCTTAGATTTTCTTGGAAGGAATACTAGCTGGCTAGCTGCCCCTTCATGGTGCTTTTGCAACAGAGGTGGAACTAAGGACTAGTTGTATTTACCTACCAAATTTTCATCTAAACTAGTATCTTTTCCTCGTCATTGACAGCAAACATTTAGCCTCATTAAATGCCTCTAAGGAACTGCCGTATAAGCTTTCTTGTTTCATCAAATCAACCTGAATACTTGTATCATGAAATCCCATGTTCTTGTCTTTTGCATGTTAAATGTTCATATTTTTGTCAATTCCTGAATGTTTTCACAGGAATCAGGCCTTCAAGACGTCTCCGAATCTTGTGTTTGCATGGGTTTCGGCAGAGTGCATCAAATTTTAAGGGAAGAACTGCATCATTAGCCAAGAAACTTAAAAAAATTGCAGAGCTTGTTTTTGTTGATGCACCCTATGAATTGCCTTTAATATATCGACCTCGTCCAACTGAACCGTGTGATAATTCTGTAGCACTAGAATTACAACAAAGCCCTCCACCAGCAGAATCATGCAAGAAAAAGTATGCTTGGTTAGTTGCACCCGAGTTCAATGGCTCAGGGGGAATAGCAGTTTGGAAAATTGCAGATGAACCATTCAATCCACTGCAATACCAGCAACAAATTGATGGATTTGATGTTTCACTTACTTATCTGAAGACTGTGTTCTCTCAACTGGGCCCATTTGATGGGGTCTTGGGATTCTCACAAGGAGCAGCAATTGCTGCCTTACTCTGTATGGAGCGTGGAAGAAAGGATGCTGAAATAGATTTCAGATTCGTTATTTTATGCTCTGGGTTTGCTCCGAATTTGTCCAAGGTCAAGCGCGGTTCTATCAACTGTCCTTCACTTCATATTTTTGGCAATAGTCAGGGTAAAGACAGGCAAATAGCATGCCATGCCAGCATGGAGCTTGCTGGTTTATTTGAGGAGGGCTGCTCAGTGATCATAGAACATGAATCAGGCCACATAATTCCTACTCAATCCCCCTACATTGATGAAATTAAGTCTTTTCTCCTGCGTTTCCTCTGAAATCCTTTTGTATGGGTATTGCATTTGATATTCTGGAAACACTTCATATGCTAGGGACCATACTTACATTTATTCCTTTTGCGGCATCTGATGTAAAGCCCTTACAGGTTTATGCAGCTAACTCTGTTTTAACAAACAGGTAACAGTGCGCCAGGGTATGATATGCAACAGATTACCCATTAGGCCTTCCTCTTAAGCTTCTGTCTTACTCGGGTTTTATATTATTGATCTATTCACTATTTTCTTTCCTTTTTTTTGTGTGCATGTGTCAGTGTTTTAAAAACCGGCCCGGAGGCTGAACCGTTTTTGCCTTCGGGTCATGGGTCACTGGTTTGAGCCAATGGTCCAACCATCCGGATCTGACGTTATTTGACTAAGTGAATAGGTTTATACCTTTCTATGGGTTTTACTTAAATCGGACTCGGAATCTTGACTGGGTGATGATCATGTGTAGATAAAGTCATGTATCTCTTCACTGAATTTGTTCAGATATACTTCAAAGCCATGCACTGCAAGAAGACAATAGAATAAGATGGTCATGTGTAGATAAAGAACTCCATTTGCAGAACCAGGCAGCAGTGGAATGTTTCTACCAACAGTCTCAGTGGTCGTGGCAGCTAGGAATCACCTGGTAGGTCAGGTAGGACAATATCGATACAATAAGTTTGATACACAACATATCTTATTGATGTATGTCCAAAGGCAAGGGATCTGTAGCATAGGTGGAATAGACATGATGTAAGCATGCCATCTGTGCGGCTGTGCCTACAAGTCTACAAGGCATTACATGTATCAACGTATTGATCAATAGGATCTTTGCTTCTTGTTTTGAGTAAAAACGCCGTTATGTTCATAGCACATAGGTGTTGAAACATTCCCATAGAAAACAAAACCGTATATTGTTTATGATAATAGAACCAAAAGCAATCCAATTTTTAATTGACAGTCGGATCTGACCCAATAAGCCTATATTAATATTATCAACGAGACTTGGAAGGATGGATCTGTTCTTAAAAAGCTTCTCATTCCAAAAAATGTCAAGTCACTCACAAAGTTGGGTATCGGCTTGATGGACTCGTTAAAGTGAATATTTAATGATTATCTTATTTTAATGGTAAAATTTGTCTGGATCGTGAAGTTTGTTTTTCTTCGGTGGTTAAACATGGAAAGTTGGTTTGCCTATCATGGCTGTTTCTATTACGATTTACTAATCTGAATAATACATGTATTAATAATAGTACATACCTCTATAAGATTTCCAAACCAAGGCATTACCAGGGTATCTAGAGGATAAGTCATAACTAATTTTTAATAATTCTTTGGAAGGGGAGAATGGTTAAAAGTTCGGTCAGGTTTTAAACACCATGGTTTTAAAAACTGGCCCAGAACCAGAATCATTCCACCGGTTTTTGGGTCAACAGTTTGACCATTTTGTTTGAATGAATGACCTGTTCTAACTTTAAAATAAAAAATAAAAAATACAAATACAAAAAATTAAAATAAAAAAAAGGCCAAAAATCATTGAATGGGTCAAACGGTTGATGGTTCGACCACCAACGGGTTGCCTAGATAGCTCTTGGTCCAAATGGTCTGACCATTTGGGTCAATGGTGGTTTGAAAACAAAGCAAGAGGTCAGATTGGTCAATCCATCATCTGGTCAGGTGTTTGGGTCTATTTATGTTCCGAATTGTTTATTCATAAAAAATTCTATGACTTGGTCAATGATCCAGTGACTCAATTGAACTGCCTAATCATTTTACCTAGTTAGTGGGTCATAGGTTAGACATGAATTCTTTTGTTAATGTCCTCCCTGATCATTTGAGCTTCCCACAAGTTATTTGAGTTTGGTTCATGAAAAGCTTGATTTGGCTCAGTCTAAACTGAACTTTAAAGCAAGCACGAGTCCAATAAATCTCAACTGTGAAGCTTGTGAGCCTAAAAAAGTTGTACATGTATAATGTTTTTTTATAGGAAATTTGTCTCAGCCCAAATCGAGCTTATGAGATTTTGAGTTGGGTTGAACTTGATCTCAAGTCTCTAGCTTGGATTGAGTTTGAGCTTGAGTTTGAACCTCATGGTTTTTTAGCAAACTGAACTCGAATAACTAAATATTCAGCTCGTCTCGGCTCAAATCTACCTCTATTTAGAGGGAAAAGCGGTTCAGTTTCCACTTTCCAGGTTGTTTCAATCCCATCAAGAGAGTTATCTGAAATTAAACTATAATCATTAACCTGACCTGACCAATGCCCTCTCATTCTTTAAGTACTGCACAAAAGGCTTGAAAACGAAAAACAAAAAGGTCTTTTTACGGTCCACTCTACCTCAGAATTCATAAATTAATCCTCCATATGTATTTATCCCCACCCTCTATAAATTCAAACTATCCCAAAACAAAAAAGCAGAAAGTACTATGGTTGAAAATTTGGGGCATGGAGATGATGAGAGGGAAACGATACGCGTACAGTACAGGAGAATATAAAATCTGGAAGTAAATGTATTTATGGGCTTAATGTTACAATACCACATTCAAAATAGATTGTAAGGAGAAAATTGGTAATGCAAAATTAACGATAAAGTCTAGAACATTACTACATAAAAAATAATGTCACCACCTCACTAGCCAAGAAATGGGGAAAAGAAATTGCAAAGATAGGGCATTCTAAATCACATGAAAATCCAATATATAAAATCCAACTGGTGGTGGCTCGGTTGGTAAGTTGTCAGACTGCAGCTGTTTGTAGGGGAGACTTGGGATCAGAACCCGCTGCCACCAAGGTTGGGGGGTATTGGTATGAGCGACTGGCTACCACTGTTGTGCAGCTCCATGGAAGGAAGAGATCAAAACAAAATCTGTCTATATTTAGTAAAACCAAATAATGAACATTTTTGCAAGGTCCCAACTAGGGGTGTAAGTGAGCCAGAGCCTACTCACGAGTTACTTGAGTTTGGCTTGTTAAATACTCACATTTGTCTCAAAAGTAATCGAGATTGAGCTTCCCAATGCCCGACTTGAGTGGCTCGCAAGCTTAATTGGACTCATAATAAAATACTATTTTTTAATATATTTATATGTATAATATAAATAAATCTTAATGTTTTGATATTAACTTATTTATAATCTAAATAAATAAATTTATAATTGATTTTCATAATATGTTTCTATTTATAGTATTTACAATATTAATTTATCTATATTTTTTAATATATTTTTATTTTTTAATATTTTTAATATACTTAGTATTTAACTTACATATAATTTCTAATACCAATTTATTTATAATTGGCTTGAGTCGGAGCCAAGCTTTAGTAACTCACAAGTATTGACTTGATTTTGAATCAGAAACTAGAAATTTGATTGAACTCGAGTCAAGTTTTGAGTTCTTTGTTTTGAGTTGAACTCGAGCTCAAACAGCTTCATACTCCGGTAGACTTGACTTTGATTACACCCCTAGTGCCGACTAGCTACTTAGGTCTTAAGTTGGTTGTAGCGGAAACTTAGGATTGAATCCCACCTACACCAAGGGTGGGCTACACCCCGTTGCATGGAGCCATCAACAACAACAATACAAATAATATTAATGAACATTCAGATTACACTCATAAGAAAACACAGAAAATGATCAAATACAAAACTAGAATCTCAACAGAACACAAGGAAAATTGCACAAAACAAAAATCAGAAGCTTAAAAGAAGAAAAAAAAAGAACTTAAACAGGTTCAATGATGTTAACAAATAAACCAGCGGCAATATCTATGATGTTGGAAAGTACGACAGCAGAAAACTTTGATTCCCCCCGGGGGGTGAATTTTGATGAATACTAACCGTTGGTCACCACTTTTATGCTACTATGTATGAAGTACCAGATGTTCTGTCATTTTCCTAGGGGTCAATTTCGTGATATCACGAGCGACACCACTTGAGTTGAGATAGCACTCCCTTCCAACAGAAAAGCCAAAGCAATATGCTGAATTGCATTGATATAAAGCCTATGCTTCCTTGAATAATATGTTTTATATGTTAACATATAAAGAAAATCTTTTGTAGCCATATACACCAAAGGACGGCAAAGTTAGAAATGATGGTGTAACATTTTTGCATTTTAAAACCTTGGATGTTCTATAACAGGAAAAATTAGTTTATAAGCACAGTTCTAGTAAAAAAGTAGGAGTATCCAACAATGCTATGAAAATAAAATATAAATGCTGATATACTTTTCTCCCAATCTAGAAACTACTTTACTAGGATTGGCTAGACAAGATATGATATTCAGAAGTTCAAGTTTTAATGGTTTTTCTCAAGTGTCTGCTTCCTAATTTGTAAACGAAGAGGAAATGTGTATGTGTATGTGGAGAGAGAGAGAATACTCGACAAAACCTTTTCTAAACATTTGGGATCAGCTACATGATTCCAGTCTTGCCATTTCACTGTATCAAGAGTAAAATCTTCTGTCATATTTTAAGTCCTTAAATCATTTCATAGTTAAATGATTGAGATGGTTTTTCCGTAATTCTTCTTTGATCATTCATTTCTCTTTTAGCACCTTCTAACTCCTCGTTGCACATGGAAAAAATCATCTCAATCAACCTTTTCCCACCTTGCCACCTAGTGGGGCTACTTATAAATCATTCCTGATGCATTCGTTGTTATCTTTCCTAGTCTTGCCAATCCATCTTAGCATCCTTGTTTCAGTCATGCTCACTTTTCTGAACTGGTGAGGTATATAGGATTTACATTAACAAGTCTCAAGTCAGTAAAATTGTATACCCTCAGCAATGCTTATTTATTTAGATTAGTGCAAGGACATGTGCCATGCACATGCAAAAGCAAAGATAGACAAAAAGGATAAAAAGATGAAAAAGCATTTAGATTTCGAAACTTTTTTTTTTTGATAAATAGATCTTGAAGCTTTTTTCGCTGTACTCTAAATGTCACGACTCAGTGATTAGGTTTAAAGATTAAATATTTGGACAACTACCCTTTACAAGTCAAGCATTGGCATTATATGATACTGTTAAAATATTTCGATTTAACTTTTATGGTCTGGATGTGAAGCCAAGGTAAGTATCAGAATTATATATAGTAAAGCTACGGTGTTTCTTGATTGCCCAACACTGAACATTTCATACTGTGTAAGGAGAAAATTAAATAGTAAATCTAAAAATATTAAGCCTATTTTACTTGGCCGCCTAAATAAGATCTGAGATACCAAGGTAAAGATACTGTTACAGAGAAACAAGATTATGACT